CTTTATCCTACAATGGATGATGAACTGCACTGTCTCATTGCTCTGGGAACTCAGGAGAGCCAGAGGTATGGAGAAGGAATGTGGGGATGTGCTGATGGAGGGCCTAACTAATGGATGAGGAAGAGTGATCACTGGTGCTGATGTGAGGGTGAGACTGGCAATACGGTAGTCAACAATAATCCTAGATTGTATCAGCTGCAGCTGTGAACACTCTACAGGTATCATCTCATTTTGGCCCCCACACTCCCTTTGTAGTAAGCATCATGACTCTTTCCTACCTTGTCACCAGGCAGCTAAGACATAGAGAAGCTATGGTGGTCCTAGGCCACACAGAGGCACAGGTGAGGTTTGGACATGGCAGTCTGACCCCAGTGCTTCCCATACCTGGAGATACAAGACTTCTTAAGATCAGTCATAAATATATGTAAAGGCAAGGAAACTATCCTCACTTAGTATTTCTGTAGGGTATGTTGCAACAAATTCTGTTGCTTAAAGGTGCTTGTCATGCAAGCCTGGTGACCTGAGTTCAATCCCCAGAACCTATATACAGGTGAAAGGAAAAAAACTCACTCCACAAAGCTGTCTCTGTTCTTCACATGTGCTGTGACATGCACACAAAATAAATATGACACTGGGTATAGCAGCACATGGCTATCTCAGCATTCAGAGGGGTGAGGCGGGAAGATCATGAGTTCAAAGCCACCCCGTGCTACACAGTGAGACTAAGTCCCATACAGCCCCCCGACCCCCTCCCCCCCAAATCTGACAATACCTTAACTTCCCCTTCATTTTTGTATAGGTGTTGGGAACCCTTGGCTGGCAGTTTTTCTTTTGAACCTGCCATCTTTCCTAATCCTTGTCAGAAACTTCTGGCTTCTGGCAAGAAACCAGCAGTTCTGCACAGCACGAAGTCTCTCGCTGCTGTTTTGATTTTCAGTTGTTTGACAAAGATGTTCTAGAAGTGGCTTGCTTTCAAAGCTTATCCTTACAGTTGTTTTCTTGAGTTTAATGTGTAAATTTTTCCAGCAGATTTTGCTTCTACCCATTCTTTTTTTCTTTCTTTGTTCTTCCTCTTCCATTTTTGGAAACATCATGAAACCCAGGCTAGACCCTGAATTATGTAGGTGAAGTTAGCTTTGACCTTCTGATCCTGCCTCCACCTCTGTGGTGGTTTGAATGAAAAATCTGTAGTTGGTGGCACTATTTGGAGGTCGTGGAAACTTTAGATGTGGCCTTGCTGGAGGACACATCACTGGGGAGGGCTTTGACAGTTCATAGCCTTGCCTCATTTCCAGTTCACTGTTTCAAGTTTGTTGAAAGATGTGAACTTGTAGCTTCCTGTTCCAGCTGCCATGTCTGTCACTGTCATGCCTCCCCGCCATGATGAACTCATCCCCCAGGAATTGTAAGCGTAAACTCTTCCATAAGTTCTCTTGGTCATTATGTTTTATCACAGCACCAGAAAAGTAACTAATACAACCGCTCAATGGGTGAGATTACATTTTTTTCTTTAAAAAACATCAAGATTTATCACTTTTGTGTGTATGTATATATAAGGGCACATGCTTGAAAACATGTAGAGTTCAGAGGACAATTTGGGAGTCAGTTCTTTCCTTCCACCAAGTGCATTCTGGGGATTGAACTCAAGATGTCAGGGCTTGGTGGCAAGTGCTTTTACCTGCTGAGCCATCTCACTAGCAACACTACTCTCCTGTCCTGTCTTCTCCTTTTCTTTTCCCCTTTTATTTTTCTTTTGAGACAGAGTCTCCAAGTAGCCACAGCTGGCCTGGAGCTCACTATGTAGCCCAGACAGGGGACTCAACGTCACAGCTGTCCATCTGCCTTTGCCTCCTGAATGCTGGAAATAAAGGCATGCACCACCATGCCTAGTTCCAACATTGTCTCTTAAAACATGTTTTGGTTGCTTCCATCCTTCCTTTATGGACCTCCCACTGTGTGTAGGCTAATGTCCATTCATTTCTCTTTATCTGTATCCCTTCTGTTCCTTGGACTGGATAACCCCAATTGACCTCTTCATGTGCTGATTCTTGTCTGCTCAAACCTATTTCTGAACTCGACTGAATCCTGGTTATACTCAGGTCTCGAACTGCTACTTATGATTTCTGTAATTTTTCTCTATGACTTGTTTTTCTTGAGGTATCACTCTTCAGTTCCTTGAGAACTTCACTCTTCTATTCTTTAGACATGTAGCTCCTGACTTTCCTTTGAACATACTACAGTAGCTGATTTAAGGTCTTCAGCATCTGGACTTCCTTAAAGCAGTTTCTTCTGCTCCCCCATCCCCACCCCGCCCCAGGTATGGCCCATATTTTATTTCTTTACATGTCTCATGGTTTTGGAGTTAAAGGCTGGATAGTTAATACAGTATGCTAATAATGTAAATAAGATCCCTCCCTATTCCATGGGCTTTGTTTCAGCTTTCTTGGATGAACTATAATGCCTAAAAGGTACGTTCTTTAAAGTCTACCTGCTTCTAAGTTTATGTGATCAGTAAATGGAGAGTTCTTTAAATACTTTGGACCAGTTAGTCCCTACTTGCTGTTGAGGGGTTGTGTTGAACATGTCTTCATGTGTTTATACCTTTGCACCATCCTCCAACTGCTGCTGCACTGAACCTTAATGCAGCCAGAGAGGAGGCTGGAACTTTGTGGGGGTCTTTCTGGGCAAGCGCATACCCTCCATATGCATATCCTTCTTTGTCCCAGGAATACCAGGTTTTCCAAATGCCCTATGTGCCTCTTTCTTTAGACTTTACGTGCTTTGTCATCTTCTGTTTCTAGTGGTGCCACTGGCTCAGGCAGCTGCAATGTTAATGTTTGACAAATACACTGGACACAGATTTCCCAGGATCCAGTCAGGTCACAGTGACATTTCTGGGATGAAACACCTAAACCCATCCTTTCCCCTTTGGAGGCTGTAGGTTTTTACTACTGCTGTGGTCCTAAGTATGATGTGTGATTTTTTTACATTTACATTTGGCCATCACTATTAATGTTAGCATGTAAGAAACAGATTTATAGTTTCATGGTTGACCTCATTAAATATTTGTCAAATCCAAGAGTTTTTCAGATTTTCTTGGGTTTTTCAAGTAGACAATCATTTATGCATACACCCTTCCCTCACAGTATAGACATTACAATGTCTTTCTTTTTCACAGTTAATTGTTCAGGAGTTCCAGAATAATATCAAATAAAATACAAACTGTCAGAAGACAACTATCATTCTTTGAATGGAAACTCATTAAATGATGACATGTATGGTCTGAATACATCATTTATTCGACAGATGTTTGGCTTATCAACTGCATCCTAAGGACAGCCATCCAGAAAAAAACTTGAGGCTTATATAATCTCTGCTCTTGGTAGTCTACAGTTCAGGCAGAAATAATTTAAGCAATGCTAAACTTTGTTAAGTAGGATGAACAAAAGTAATGTGTCAAGAATTTGAATCAGGGAGGCTATACTTGTGATGAGATTGTTGGTAAAGGATGCTGGAGGAAATTAAGTTGACGTGAAGGGAACTGGAAGTCAGCCAGGCCCGTGTTGTGGAAGAGCATCACAGAGGTGCTGAGGTGAGAGGAGTACGAGGAGTCAGAGAAATGGAGCCATTGTGACTGACACATAGCTGACAAGGTCTCAGGCCACAGGGGCCATGGCACACTGTTGGTCTTCACTGTAACCATAATGGGAAACAGTACCTGGAGTTAGTATCTCACCCTTCTGGATGCTGGTGGAAAACAAAGAGGAGGAGAGGCTGAAAATGGGAGTTGAGAGTAGAAGAGATGAAGGTGTGGGCTCCAGATAGCAGGAGGTGGTTATGTCTTCATGTCAGCATTAAGGGCTTTGGATCTGCACACAAGAGGGAGGGAGCCAGGACAGGAGGTTGTTTAGGTCTCCACCTCAGGTACCTAGACAGGCAGACAGATGCAAAGACAGGAGGGATACTGCTAGACCTCCTAGGAGACAGACTGCTTTGGAGGGCGCTGAATAAACTGGCCTTAATCTCAGAAGGAAAGTTTGTTGGTGACACCAATTTGGAAAACACAGTTGATTGAGGGCATACATAATAAAATGAATGGAAGAATACAGAATGAAAAAAAGAGATCAATTTAGAGTCTTGGAGGGAGATAGAAAAAGATGTTTCTAAGAATCAACAGTGGAGAATGATAGAGAAAAGACCGGGCATGGCTCAATGGTAGAGTGCTTGCCCAGCGTGCATGAGGGCCTGCGTTTTTGGTGTTTTTTGGTCTTTTTGAGACAGGGTCTCCCTGTAGCCCCAGCTGTCCTGGAACTTACTATGTAGACCAGGATGGCCTTGAACTCACCAAGATCCACCTGCCTCTGCCTCCCGAGTGTTGGGGTTAAAGGTGTGTGCCATCACACCCGGCTGTTTTTGCTTTTAACAAGAGAAGGGATGCAAAACAAGCATGTTAAGGCCAAAGAAATGATTTAGGGGCATAGTTGTAAGGTCAACACCTAGGAGGTTGAGGCAGAATGACTGTAAGCTGAAGGCCAGTCTGGGTCACCCAGTGAGCAACCAACAAATAAGATCAAGCAAAGGTGGCCTTTGAGCAACTGAGTAAAAAAGCAAATGGTTTTAAATGTGAAGACGCCCAAGAAATACTACAAAGTAGCCTTTCCAGCCCACCTGATTTATCAGGGACTGAGTTAAGACACTGTTGCTATCCTACTTCCATCTCAGCAGCTTTTCCCTGGATTCCTCAGCACTCTAGTCATAACGTATATTTAAAGTTTACTTTTTCTACTCACCATTACCCTTCAGAGAGCTGCTGTAAAAACCCAGAGTTTGTAAGCTTGGTAGAGGAGTCAAACTAAGATGGTGACAAGAGGAATAGTATGCAATCTGAAAACCGAAAGAATTCACAAACGGCCAAATACATACGGCATGATATATTGATTTTCCAAATTATCTGGTCCTACAGTAAAAATTTCATTTCAAAAGACAAAACAAATGACAAGTGAGCTAACATAAATGTTTTATTGAATAAATACATGCACTGTTAATGTAAAATTAATTAATCGAAAAGGACATTCTATGATTAAAAACAAAACAAAACAAAAGCAACCCTCCAGGGTCCTCTGCAGTGGGTAATGCAGCTGAGACCAGTCAACGTGGCAACCAGAGAATACAGGTGCAGCGACCAGCGCTCTCTGCATCTGCTTGGGGTTTATGAACCAATCCCAAACCCTCTTGAGGACAAAACTATCTGATGATGAATTCTAGAGTACAGAATACAAATGCTAAATACAGTTGCAAGGTTGCTTCTGTTCTTGTCTCAAAAACACCTTTGTACTTTAAGGCACAGGATAAGCAACCATATGTACAAGCTAGCAGAGCTGTACTTCAAATTCACCCAATTTCCCCTCACTAATTTGGTTTGAAGTAGAAAACTTAAAGTTCTCTTTTCCTAGATAAGTCAGTTATTAATAACTAAAAGTTAACATTTGCGAACTTAAAGTGTCTTCCATCATTAGGGCCCTGGTGTATGTGTGGTCTTGATGGCAACTCAGAGCTCTCCCTACACAGGACAACAGGAGATGTGCTACTGCCTCAGACATTCCCTCTCCTTCCCATCTTCCTTTTTAAAAGAATGGAGACAGCTGCTAGAGGATTCGGATGCTGCAGAAGGCGATTTCGTATCCAAACTTGTTGGTGCCAGCTTCTGTGGCCTCACTACAGCAGTGGGCATCACCACAGCAGCTGCACTGGCTTCCTTTGGGATAGTACCCTTAACTGTACTCAGTTTGCCTAACTGCTTAAAGAAAGCATTCCTTTAAGTAAAATATACATTGACAGATTAAGCATATGGGTGCAAAACACAGATGTTTAGGTTGCTGGTGAAAAACACCACTGATATAACATTTTAATGAGTAATTCTCCTCTTCTATAGATTATGACAGAGCCGTTTAATGAACCTAATAAAAGTCTAATACCAAGGATAAGCAACTAGATTTAGTAAGACATTGCCTGCCTTTTTCCTGCTACTAAAATACCATAGCATGTTTTATGTGCATATATGTTCATATGCACGACACAAACTTCCTCCTAGAATAACCAATTCTGAATACTAACGGGAAGAGATTTATAGAGGCTTCAGAAGGTGTCTGCAGACAGGGGAGTGAGATTACACTGGCCCTATAATTACCTGGGATGTGTTGTGAAGCCACAGACTCCATTACAAATGCACCCATGGCGTGATACAAACCGAGGCACAATTACATCTGCTGAACAAGAGGAACACGTGGAAGTTAACACTCATCACAGGCACTTTGGTATGTTTGGTCACACAAGCTTCCCACAGGTGTAGTCCCAGGAAGCATGTGAAAGGAGTGTCCCCAATTTTTATTACAAAGCTGTATTTCCTGGTATTTGTACACAGAGTTCTAAATGACCTCATATTAAGTGAGCCCTTTTCATCCTGTAGCTTAAAATGCGCACTGAAAAATCCTTCTGCATTTATGCATATTTTGTATACAGACATGCATAGCTTATAACACTGCTATATAACCTCACCTCACAAGAGGTTTTGGGGGACTCTAAAATATATAAAACATGCTTTTCATAACCTACAAAGAAAAAAGGATTCCAAAATAAAAATTTTATAACAACATTCCAATATCAAGGTCTGACATGGCACAAAACGAGCAAACCCAGAAAATGGAGAGACCAATAGTTGTCGGAGCTGGAGCTGGGCAGGGTCCCTTTGTCCCATAGGGACTCCACACGTCAGCAGAAGCACTGCAAGCCCTGGTTCAGAGGTGTGTGTCCTGTGTGATGGACGAGAGCCACGTTCTCACACCGACAGCAAGTGAACAGCTGTCAGAAGCGTAACATCCTTTGTACTCATCCAACCTGCTTCACTACTTTATATAACAACACATCTCTGTTTTCATAGCATTAGAGACATGGACAAAACAAACCAGGCTTGCAGCCAATCTGGAAAGAGCTTACCTCCTACTACTAGAAGTTTGTTCCTATGCTTTGAGAAAAGTATAAAGTGTATGTGTACACACACAGACACACACCACACACACACCAACACACTTGTTTTTGAGACAGGGTCTTGCTGTCTAGCCCAGGCTAACTCTTGTTCTTCCTGCCTTGGCTTACCATGTCCTGGGAGTACAGACATGAGGTAACACACCTGGCATCTGTGCATCTCTGCACTGTTCCATGAATCTGTCACAACAAGCAATTACAAATAAACCATACATCTCATGTGATTCATGTGTCTTGACAACACTTGGTACTTTATATTACTCAATTACACAGTATGTTTCTTTATCAGCCACCACTGATTTCTCAGTATATCTTTCTATTTGTGGTAATGCTAATATTTTGAACACTTTCAAATCAATCATACTTGGCATAAATATCCTAATACTGAATAAAAAGATTTTTACACCACACAACAGATCTATGAGAACTTTTTGCTGAAAGGATGGAAATGATTAGTCACAAAATTTAATAAGGTTTAGAAGAAAATATGTATTTCCTTGATCCATTTTCTTCTGAATCCAAAGCATGTAGACATTATAAAAAATAGTCTATTTACATGGCATAGTGCACCTCAGTGATGCAGGACAAGGCAGTAATAAGCAAGTACAGGTGTCTGCTTCCCAGCAGGTACAGTTAACAGTTCCACATGGCGCAGGATCAAACTACAACTCCACTGCAGTGCCTGGTGAAGCGCTAGGAGAAACTCAACATAAAAATTTAACAACAATATTGGCCGACATTTTTATAAAATTAAGGTATGTATAACTCAATACTTGAAATTATAAAAATAGCATTGGTACATCTGCAAGATGTGTTTCGGGTTGAGGTGGAGCGATACATCAAGAAAGACGTCTTATGTCAAGAAAGGTGCCTCCTCTGCAGCGCGGCTACGTCACCACCTGTGGCCTTGTCCCATCTTCCGTGAGGTCATACCTGAGAAAGCACAAAAGAGCACAGGAGACATAGGCCAGGCACAGGGTGGTGCTAAATACATGCTAGGCTTCTCGGGGCACTGCCTGCAGCCTGAAGTAGTAACACTCACCACTGGGTCCAGCCCTTGGCAAGTTCTTCAGATGCTAGAGCAACCAGCACCTGTGGGTTAAAAAAAGGGACTGTGAAAGTGGCTGAGTAATTCCTTTCAAATCTTCCACCAATCCTTCCAACCAACCTCTCTAATTTCCTGTCTTAATTTAGTAATATGGAACTCTCCCTTTTTGAGGTTCCCATTTGAAAAAAAAAAGAACAACTTTTCAACTTTTACATGGCTAATTATATCCAACAGCAGTCTTGTATCCAACAATCTTAAGATTATTATGAAACACAGGCAGAGCAATTTATGGAACTCCTGGCAAATATGCCATTAATGGGCAGTGTGTGGTTTGGCTTTGAAGTGACCCTAAGAAGTGCATGTGTTAAAAGCTTGGTTGCCAGCTGATAGGCTTTTGGAAAGTGACTGGATCCTGAAAACTCTGTTCTATTCAATGGATCAATCCCCTGATTGATTCATACTTCCATGGTGTTACTGGGAACTTGTGGAAGACAGGAGATGGGGCCAGCTGGAGGAAGCAGGTCATCAGGGGTGTGCCTTGGAAAGCCAGTTTCTCCTTGGTCCCTTCATGTCTCTCTCTGCTTCCTGGCCACCATTAGGTGAGTAGCTCTGCTCTGCCTCACACTCCCCACTATGATGTTCTGCCTCACAACTGGCCCAGAAATAAGCCAGTGTACATGGATTGAAACCTCTGAAATGAGCCAAAAATAAATCTTTTGTCCTCCATACTGTCTCTTAGGATCTGTCAGTGATGAGAAAGTCTACCACAGATAGTCTAGTTGATAGAAATTTCACTTCTGCTGCTGACATGGTGCCACCTACACCTTAAAGCTCTTTCCCCAACCTAAACCACTGTTAAAGACTAAATAATTCTACACCAGAGTTAAATGTGGGACAAAGACTAGATGAAATTCAGAGGGAGAAGGCCAGTGACGTGCTAGAGGAAGAACAGGGATTCAACTGAGGAAGTGGATTGTTTGAGGGTATTTTCGCTCATGTTTTCTTCCAATGCAGTACTAAGCAAGAATTTTAGAATTAAAAAAAAAAATCAGCCTTTCTTCAACAGTAAGTTCCTGCCATTCGTATGATTAATAAGCCAATGGTATGAATGAATGAAAATAATGCAAAGAACTATGTACTGATGTCTTAGCATAATCTGATAAACAAGCATCAATCAGAACAAGCTTCCCTCATTTTCACTTGTACACAAGCCATGGTCTACACTGCATTGCAGAGAAGTGCATAATTTTACAATGTGAAAGATACAAGGATTTTTAAAAAAATTTACTTTGCCAAGAAGACCTTTGTCTTTGGACAGGAAGCCACCACTGTTCTTCACTGCCACGTCCAGCGTTCTCCTCTGTACCTCAGGCAGTGAAACACTGAAATCAAAGCTGCAATGGAAACAAGATGCCAGACATCAATTCTCTGTAATCCCGCCGCTGCTCTGTGATGAAAACTGCCATTTCTGCTTGTGATATCGCTACAAACGCTGTCTGCTTTGCTCTGTATATCAGGTTCTCTTTGTGGTGCTCTCCTATCAGCTTCTGACCTGTGGTTTGAAATGGTGGTATGCAAACAGTGAGGGAGTAGTGCCTTTAAAGAAGAGACAGACTGAACAGAAGACACTGGTGCCACCCAACTGTACTATTTCCTTAACACCAGCATTTGCTGAGCTGCCAGAAAACCAGGAGGTGAGGGGCTTTGCACAGATGGCTGGTCCAAGGATTCTTGGGGTGCCTGATGCACTCTCAAGCAACTTGGCCCATCAGACTGACCACTGACTATACAAATAAATGGTGGCTTCTTTCAAGCTGACCACTTACAATTTGCAAAACATATTTTCACTGTTTTTAGAAAAAGTTTCTCTCAAAAATTTATATTTTATGTTATGACCCTCTGTTATCATAAAATAAATTTTAAGACATGCTTTTAAATTGTTTAATTTATAATTCAGTATCAATATGTGTTACTCACCAAAATGAAAACTCTTCAGAGTCATCAATAATTTGACCCTTTAATCACTGGTTTCCCTGTCCAACTGTTATAACTTAGATTTACTATGTACAGCAACTCGAAGTTCAAATGTTTATGATTTATTTGCATGTGCTGGAGGGTTTCACTTCAAAGTGTATACTAGGTTCACAGATCTTGTCACTCAAAGGTCAGTCCTAACCTGTCACTTCAGGAAGGTCGCTTCTTACTGAATGGAGTATCTACTATACCTCTGGTCAAACACAGGGTTTAGTGTCTTCTTTGACACGTGCGTTTTCCTCCTTCCTGACCTTCTCTTGTCTGGTAATAAATACATTCGGACATACGGATCAGAGCCATCTTCCGAGAAGGCAATGAGATTTCTTATAACACAAACAAACAAACAAAAACCAGAAATTAGAATTTTGGAAAATAAGAATACTATCACATTCAAATTACTTTACCAAGTTTTGAGTTTGGATTTATCTAAACCCAAAGGAGGAACAGATACCAGATTCCCCAAGATAAGTTTCTGTGTTGTCACTTCCTGGCATCTCTCTCATACTTTCCTTTCAGCAGCTTTGCCAGAAGCAGCCTTTGCCTCCATTTCCTGAGCCCAGAGCATGGGGCATTCACAGTCCTTGCTCTGTGCTTCTAATATACCTAGCAGATGTCTGTGGTGGTTTTACTCTGAGGAAAGAAGAGCCAGCCCCCAGGAGGCCCTGAGTTAACTGTATCCTGTAAACGTGAACCTGAGTGGTCACATGGCCCCCTCTGCAGTGTCTGCCTGCCAATTTTACTTCTACCCACCTAGACACTGCAACAGGGTCCACCTCCTCCAGGAACCTAGTCCTGTTATTTTCCTAGGGCACCTGGAATGAGCCAAAGACAGGTGAGCATTCAGTTGCCCACAACTACCTCCAATTCTTCACTGATTACATGGCCCAGAGTCAGGCAGGAAAGGCTGTCTTCAGAGTCACACAGGCAGCCTCTGCAGCCCTATCTCCATTAGCCAACTGTCTCAGCAGCCGGAGTAAAGTGCTCCACCATCACTCACTAAACCGAATTCTACGTTTACATAATCTTGTTTCTCAGTGTCACCAGATGTATTTATCTATGTTTCCAAAAGATTTTTTTGGGGGGGGTCTTTTTGAGACAGGGTCTCCCTGTAGCCCCAGTTGGCCTGGAACTCACTATGTAGACCAGGCTGGCCTTGAACACACTGACATCCGCCTGCCTCTGCCTCCCGAGTGCTGGGATTAAAGGCGTGTGCCACCATGCCTGGCCCCAAATTATTTATTATTTTTATGTGTATGAGTGTATTGCCTGCATGTATGTGAGTGCACTGGTATTGTGCACTGCTGTGGAGGTCAGAAGAGGGCTTCGGATTCCCCTGGAACTGGAGTTAAGGACGGTTTGTAGATGCCGTGTGGGTGCTGGGAATCGAACCTGGGTCCTCTGCAAGCGTAGTCAGTGCTTTTAACTGCTGACCCATCTCTCCAGCCTCCAAAATGTTTTTTATAAATTCCAAATACTTATTTTCAAAAATTTATTTTTATTTTATGAGTGTTTTGCCTGCATGTACGCGCACCCATGCATGCAATGCTTGCAGAGGCCAGAAGAGGGCACTGGATCCCTTGGAACTAGAAGGTCGATAGCTACCATGTGGGTGGTAGGAACAGAACTTGGGTCCTTTGCAAGAGCAACCAGTGCTTTGGAGCCATCTCTCCAAAATACTTATATTTTAAGCTACTACTGAGACAGGGAGGAAAAAAAAATCACACTGACATAAAATAACTAGCCAGGGGCAATGGCAGGTAGCCTCACCTGCAGGAGTGCACAACCACAATAAGCTTATTCCTTTGGGAGCTGTGCCGGATTGTCAGCTGGATCTGCCCCAGGGGAGACTGGCCTAGGGTTGTCCCACTGCAGAAACAGAACACAATGTTACCAGCTCTGCCCCAGCTTCATAAGAGGTGTGGTACATTGTATATATATGTGTATATATGGTACCAATAATTTCCACTCATTCAGACAAAAAGGAATCAAACTACCCATTAACTTAAGCGTATTTTGAAATTTCTAGGTATAAATCAAGTTGAAATCATATTTCATTTCAGGTTTTAGTGTATCTTAATTATTCAAAACTGATAGTTTTTCAATGAGTACCAAGTACAAATGAGACACGGCATCCTCCCCTTGACAAACATCAATCCTGGGTCTTACTTAGCTCAGCCTGTGCCTGCTAGGCAAGTGTTCTATCACTGCACAACACCCCCAGCCTCAGTTGATCTTTTTCCAAAATAATGGATGTGAGAAAGCATGACTGGAAAAGGCAAGCTGGGGGTCAAAGGAGCCTTAGAGACATGGGCGTGGCAAATGCTGTGTCACTAAGTTCTTCCATAACCACTACTTCCAGCTTCCACCCCACCACCCCACTGTTAGTACTTCCTTATAGCTTGACACACTTTTTATGACCACAAGAGCAGTTTCAGTGGTTGGTTATATATTTACCACAGGAAATAGTCATTCCTGAAGTTTACAGGTAACCATTTTTCTTCCTTATCCAAAGAAACGAATAGCACATCTATGAGTCATCAGGTTTAAACAAGAAATCAACACCAGACATCCAAAGAAAACCATTGGGGACTGGATGGTGGTGGTAAAGGGTACTATTCATTATCGAGAGAAGTCCTATCTCTGCCAGATTTTTTTCAGGTGACACAACGTAGGATAGGTTAGGGTATGTCCCTGGCATGAGCTGGGTGCATGACAGCTGCATAGCTCTAACCCTCCTGCCTTTCTCACTTGTGAAACCCCATCTCTCACCACTCATTTTCCACAGTGAGGTCCTACAAAATGGCTGCTTTTGTTTTGAAAGTTAAAGACTCTGGTTTTTTTTTTTTTTTTGGTCTTTTTGAGAGAAGGTCTCCCTGTAGCCCCAGCTGTCCTGGAACTCACTATGTAGACCAGGCTGGCCTTGAACTCACTGCCTGCCTCTGCCTCCCGAGTGCTGGGATTAAAGGCGTGCACCACCACGCCTTAAGCAAAATAGCAGCACAACCCAAAATTCTTCTAGTTAACTTAAGATTCTATCCCTCCACCAGCCCTCAATGGTGTTTGGAAAGAGAACACTGTTGGTCTTAGCAACAACCCTCAGTGTGTGGGATGTGAAGTCTGCCTAGGGTAAACAATGGTGTGAGTACTAGTTACTTTTCAAGCTGCCGCAGCCTCTGCCGCAGCTCCTGGGTGGCAATGGGCAGTGATATGTCTGAGGCGATGCTTGGGGTGGGTTCCTTGGCTGAGATGTGGCTTGGTGAGGCCAGGAGACTAGAGGAGCTCCTGCCTAAGTCATGCTGCCCTGGAGGGCTGGCCTCGGGGGGCTGGGTCTTCTCCTCCATGCCAGGTTTATCACCGACCCCCATGACTGGTGTTGACGGAGCTGTGTTGCTACCACCAGTGCCTGGAGATGCAGACATCTGAGTTCTGACAGGTATTTTCCTCCCTTCCTTGGAGACAGAGGGCCGCTTCACTTGAGCTGAATGCTGGTAATCTGGAGGCCTCTCTTGCTTCTCCAGATGGAGGACCTAAAGGAGAGTAAACACTGAAACTCATGATACCATAACATCTTGATACATGAGGAGCTTCAGGTGTATTCACCTGTGTTTCTTTAAAACTCAGTTCAAAAAATTTTCATTGCATGACACGGGTGCACTCACATACATGCAGGCAATACACTCATACATATAAAATAAAAATAAATGAAAAAAAAATATATAAAGGGGGCTGGAGAGATGGCTCAGCAGTTAAGAGCACTGACTGCTCTTGCAGAGGACACGAGTTCGATTCCCAGCACCCATATGGCAGCTACAAACCATACTTAACTCCAGTTCCAGGGGACTCTAACGCCCTCTTCTGACCTCTGTGGCATTGCACGACACGGGTGCACTCACATACATGCAGACAATATGTTCATACACATAAAATAAAAATTATAATTTAAAAAATATATAAAAAACTTAAAACGCTACTTCTGGAATACAAAGATCCACTTGCACACATTCTTCCGTTTACGGGCTAATGCTCCCATGGGATCCCATGTGCCCTTGACAGAAGATGAAATCCCCCATTCTTACAGGCAGTCTGCGCTCGAAACTCCCAAAGGAAGAATATCAAGATGCCTTTGCATCCAGCAAGATCACCTCAAACAACCAAGCCTAACACTGCAACAGAGGGGCAGCCACATCATCCTCCACAGCATGTTACAAGCCAGAGTTGGTCCCGTCCCACCGAGCAGAGCCTGTACTTAGTAGGTCCCTCTGGGGTTACTGATTTTCTCTGCTTTATGTGTATGCATGTATTGCCTGGACATATTTAAGTGCACCCGTGTCATGCAATGCTTGAGGAGGTCAGAAGAAGGTGTCAGATTCACTGGAACTGGAGTTACAGACAGTTGTTAGTTGCCATGAGGGTGATGGGATTTGAACCTGGGTCTTCTTTCAAGAACAGCCAATATTCTTAACCACTGAACCATCTCTCCAGGCCTCTAAACATACATTCTGGCCAGGCATGGTGGCACACACCTTTAATCCCAGCACTCAGGAAGCAGAAGCAGGCAGATCTCCGTGAGACTGAGGATAGCTAGGGTTACTAGGGTTACTAAGGAGACCCTGTCTCAAAAAAAAAAAAAAAAGACTTTTTCATTCTTGGGGCTGGTATATAGCTTCACTATTAGAACATTTGCCTTCATGTGTGGTCCTAGGTTCAATCCTTAGCAGTGTGTGTGTGTGTATGTGTGTGATGTGTGGCACATGTGCGTGGAGGTCAGAGGACAACTTTAGGGACTTGGTTCTCATCCACTTTTATGTGGGTTTCAGGGATGAAACTCAGGTCATCAGGATGAAGGAAGCACTTTAACCTGCTGAGTCATCTCCATCCTGGCCTATGGAACAACCTGGAAATAAAGTCTGTTCAGGGTGGAGTCTAGACTATAACTCTGCTGTAGTTCCTACCCTCCTCACACTGTCAGCATGCTATCACAGAACCTGACCCATGCCTGTGGTATACCTGTCACACTGGCTAGGACTGAGGAGCACCTGCTTTCTTCCCTCCCACTACTGAGCCCTGTGAAAGACTATGCAGTACCCGGAGGGCGATCTTCATTTTTAGGGTGCTGTTTGGACCCGAGTTGCTGAGGTGGAACCGCTGGTTTATGGTCATGTCATCACTTGTGAGCAGCTGACTGAGTGGGATCCGCAGGTTTCCCAGAGAACACTGATGTTGCTCATCTTTGACCTGAAAAAGGCAGTATAGAAAACACTGAGCTCTAAGGAAAAGGTATAGAAACTCCAGAAAGCATAGAGTTCCCCATATCAGCCTTTAAAAACATATTACAAAACAAAACATATTTCACACATATTCTTTTAAGTCAAATGTCCAAAAGTGACATGGACCTCTTAGGGAGACATGGCACCATTTCTGTCACATATGCCTGTCTTTCCTCATTATAATGAGTGCAACAAAGCATATCATGCTTATACATCTGTGTGAGAAACTTCAGTTAAGAGGCAACAGTACAGAAATCTGAAGCTAGAAGGAAATGTCTTTAAAATTCTGAGAGAAAATGATAAATAGATATTGACAATAATGTGCAGTTTATACTGGTGACACTTATTCATGGAGAAAATACATTTTTAAGTATCTTTAAAGCCTTCCCTACAAAGTGTATATGAGTGTTTTAAAATTTTTATAGTATCTTCTTTAAAAAAAACTTCTTTTTATTAATAATCTTCAGCATTATCTCTGTTAAAAGAACTATTACCATCATATGGTTACACAAAAGAGTTTCATCAAAGAAAGCAAGAACCCTGGACGAAATGAACAAATTCCTGAAAGACATAAATACCACAGTCCATGACAATTGGCCTAGACAGACTGATACCTATTGATAGAACTGAGTTTGCATATAAACACCTCAAAATGAAAACTGCAAGCATATAAGCAAATCCCCAAATGATTTGGTAGTCTTCTAGAAAATTCAAGAGGAGCTAATGCTTCTTAACTCATTCAAAGGACCAGTACCCTCACACCAAAACAGGAAAAGATTTTTTTTTTTTCTTTTGTCTTTTTGAGACAGGGTCTCCCTGTAGCCCCAGCTGTCCTGGAACTCACTATATAGACCAGGCTAGCCTTGAACTCACAGAGATCCACCTGCCTATGTCTCCCAAGTGCTGGGACTATAGGCATGCGCCGCCATGCCCAGCAACACAGAAAAAGACATTTTAAAAATACTTTATTCCTGAATTTTATTTTCTGTGTTTGAGTGTATTGCCTGCATGTTTATAAGTGCACCTATGTCATGCAATGCCTGCAGAAGTCAGAAGAGGGCATCAGATCCTCTGGAACTGGAATTACAGGTGGTTGTTAGCAACCATGTGGGTTTTGGGAACCGAACCTGGGTCCTCTGCCAAGAGCAGTCAGTGCTCCTAAGCCCTGAGCCATCTCTCCAACCAAGAAAAGATATTATAAGGAGACAAAATTACAGATCATCATCCTTCATGACTAAGAAGCAAGGATTTTAACCATTTTGTACGTACATAAAAACGATCATGACTGAGTCTTATCAATAAAACATTGTGTGCAGTTTCCAAATGTTAAATGTTGAAAATCGAGTAAAAATTTGTAGGGTTTAACATTTGAAAAGCAATAATGTATTTCTCTATATTTACAGTTGAAAAACCATATGGTCATCTCAACAGATGTAGAGAAGTCTTTAAGTGAAAATCATTCATTTAAGATGTCAAAGCAAATTAGGAGGAAAAGGAAACTTTCTAGGGAGACAAGACTCAATGCTGAGACACAGAGCTATGAACAGACGCAGGGATGTTTTATGTGCTACCTCTGCAGAGGGCTGAACTGGGAAGCTAGCCAAGCAAAATAAGAACAGCAGCCAGACTGCTACATAGTTTCATTACTAGAAGATAATATGACTTCCCACATGTAAAATTCTAAGACAGCTAAAAAATATCTAGCAGAACACACAAGCAGACTGAGGGTGGTGGTACACACCTGTAATCTCAGCATTAGGGTGGTCAAGACAGGAGACTTGTTAAGTTCAAGGACACATGATAAAACCCAGTGCCCTCCCCTGCCATACACACAAAGAATAAGCAATTTTAGTGGGGTTGTATAAGATCACAGTAATATACAAGAATCAACTGAATTTTGTGTTTGTGTGTGTGCAGGTATGCCTACGTGTATGTGTGTAGGTGTCATTCCTTGAAGCAGTCACTTTTTTTTTTTTTTTTTGGTTTTTTTTCAGGCTCCCCCTAGCCCCAGCTGTCATGGAACTCACTATGTAGACCAGGCTGGCGTTGAACTCACAGAGATCCGCCTGCCTCTGCTCCCCGAGTGCTGGGATTAAAGGCATGCGCCATCACGCCCGGCCCAACAGTCACCATTTTTTTTTTTTTTTTTGAGACACTGTCTCTCTTTTATGAGTAGGTTAGGCCGGCTGGTCAATGAGTCCCATGAATCCACCTGCCTCTGCCTCACCATGCTTAGACTGTAAGCTTGTGCTGTCATGCCCGTCCTTTTTCATGGGTGCTGGGGACCCACTCGGCTCCTCATGCTTGCATAGCAAGCGCTTTATTGACTGAGCCGTCCCAGCTCTATTTTTTTCTTTTCTAGCCCAAGCTGACCTTGAATTTATGATCCTCCCATCTCAGCTTCAAAAATGATGGATCCACCACAATGAATGCCTACTTTTGTCTTTTGTTTTTCTAAACGAAATTTATTTCTTACAGTTTTAGAGATAACAATGCTCAAGACTGGCAAATTATTGTCCTCTGAGGGTACATTTCTGGTACATAAAGGCTGAATGTTGTATGATGAGATCCCTTCCTTTCTCTCTCTCTCTCTCTCTCTCTCTCTCTCTCCTCTTTCTTTTTGTTGGGTCTTGTTAAGACAGGTTCTCCCTGTAGCCTCAGCTGACCCAGAACTCGCTATGTAGACCAGGCTGGTCTTGAACTCATAGAGATTCGCCTGCCTCTGTCTCCCAAGTGCTGGGATTAAAGGTGTGTACCACCACGCATGGTCTATTTTTTCAATGTATTTCAACTGAAATTTTCTGTTATCTCATTCAATACATATTTAGACCCTCTTCCCATCCTTCCTCCCTCCCCTCCCCTCACTGGATTTCATGCATTCTGTCATATATGTTAAGGCCTACTGAGTCAAGTTTGTCCCTCAGATGTCCCTCAGTGTAATCTTGTCCACTGGAGTCTAGTCAGCCTCTCTGGAGTCACTCCCTTAAAGAAGAAGAACTCTTCTTCACCCAGCAGTAGTCAGCTGCTAATAGTTCCTTGACTAAGGTTGGGGCTTCTTGCTCATTTCCCGTTTTATGCTGGGATTTTTTGTCTGGGTTGAGTCTGCATGGGTTTTGTGCATGCTGTTGCCATTACAGTAAATTCTTTGTGAAAGTTCCCAGATGCTTGGAAGACTCATTTCTTCCTCATCATGCATCAACCCTGTCTCTTACAATTTTTCCAACCCCGCTTCCACAATGGTTCCTGAGCCATGGGTAGGTGAGGTTTAACAAAGGAGTCCTGCCCAGGGACATACACGTTTCATTCTCTTATTCTTTATACTTTGACCAGTTGTGGCTTTCTGTGTGCACTGCCCTCTGCTGCATGAGGAAGTTTTGCTGGTGACTTGAGAGATGTGTTAGTATTGTCTCTACCCCATTACGCTATGTCCAATGAGCCTGAGGTGTAGGGGTTCCATTGTAGATGTGTCACTTATGGCTGGGCATCTCACAGACACATTCTCTGGGTGAGACCAGTGGATCTGTGTAATACTCTCTATTTGTTGCAAAAGGGAGCTTCTTTGTTGAGTGGTGAAAGGTTTACTTGTATATAAGGATTTGGTGCTAAGGCCCACAAATGAGAACATATATCGCTTGTTCTTCTGAGTCTGTTACTTCACTTAGTATATAACGCTTTCTAGTTTCACCCATTTACCTGAAATTTCACAATTTTGTCTTTCTTTACCACTGAGTAGAACTGCATTGTGTAAATGTACCACATTTTCATGATCCATTCTTCTGTTGAGGGACACTTAGGTTGTTTCCATTTCTTAGCTATTGTGAAAAGAGTAGGAACAAACATGGATGTACAGGTAGGTATCTCTACAGTGGGATGAGTTCTTTGGGTATATGCCAAGGAGTGGTATAACTGGATCATATGGTAGGTTCATTTTTAGTTTTTTGAGAGTTCTTCACACTGCTTTAAATAGTGGGTACACGAATTTGCAATTCTACTAGCAGTGAATGAGTGTTCCCCTTTCTCTACATCCTCACCAGCATTTGGTGTCATTTGTTCTCTTGATCTTTGTCAGTTTGACTGCAGGAAGCTTAAATTTTAGAGTGGTTTTGACTTGCATTTCCTTAATTACTGAGGATGTTGAACACTTTTTAAGGTGTTTCTTAGGCATTTTTATTTCCCCATCTGAGAACTCTGTTCAGATCTGTAGTCCATGGTTTTTTTTGGTCTTTTTGAGACAGGGTCTCCCTGCAGCCCCAGCTGTCCTGGAACTCACTATGTGGATCAGTCTGGCCTTGAACTCACAGAGATCCGCCTGCCTCTGCCTCCCAAGTGCTGGGATTAAAGGTGTGCGCCACCAAGCCGGGCTTGTAGTCCATCTTTTTATTGGATCATTTGTCTTCTTTCTTTCTTTTTTTTTTTTGCATTCTTTATGTATTCTAGATATCAGTTCTCTGTGGGATGTGTAGCTGGTGGCTTTTCTCCACTGTCGATTTCCTCTTCACTTCTGTGCTTTGTTTTTATCCTGTACATAAGCTTTTTAGTTTAATGAGGTCCCACCTGTGGATTGTTGTCCTTAATGCATGAGCAAGTGACGTACAAATTCAAAAGTCCTTTCCCACACCTGTATCTTTTTTTTGTTGTTGTTTATTAGAAGAAGCATTTCATTACAACAGCATTAACCTATTCAATAACATTTTTCTGAGCTAGGGTACATCTCTTTCAAAATTGGCTGTATATTTTTAGGTACAGATGAATTATTACGCTTGTACAGTCTTTTACTCATTATAAACTCTATAAGACATAAAATTAAATGAGGTTCCAACGTTTAA